CCCCCCCCCCCCTCCGCCCCACGATGCCAACTTCTCACAACTGTGCTTGGTCAGTTGCGACGTCTCGGAAGGACCTAGGGATGATGAGTCTGATATGAAAGTTTTGGGGAACAAAAGAAAGAAGACATGGCTACTGATGCCCTTGACCGAAAGTTTATTTGGGGATAGAGGGACCAGGTTTACTCTGTAGGGCTAGAGAAGGAGGGCTAGGGTAAATAGCCTTGGAGAAGTTTGAGAGAGGCAGATTTAGATCTGTATAAAGAACTTTCTAATATCATTTGGAAATGGAAATCCATTTAGTTAGCACAAAAAGAAAAAGTTCCCACCACATTTCCTCTGTTAGGTTTGCATTTTGCTATTGAATCATCAGAGGAGATTCTGCTCTAAGATCTTTACAGTCATGATAGTACTAGAGACCAGAGCACAGCATCCAGTGAGTGAGCCCTTAACAATCACAGCAGGGAAATATTTTAGATCTCAACCAACACCCTCTCTGTATCATACAGAAGCATTGGGGTCATTCCCCTAGAGGACCCAGACAATTTTATACTTTCTGGGTAGATTAAAGAAAAATGTGGCCACCCTCAAGTTTCCAAGGGCTACCCTCCAAGACTATTGTCCTTTGTTTTGGAATGTGGCTCCTATTGTCTCAAATTGGCAAGAGGTTGCTGCTTATTAACTTCTTCCATTGCAGAGGAGGAAGGGGGAGGAGCAGCAGGAGGAGAAGGAAGTGGAGGGCTGAGAGGAGAAGGAAAGTTTAGGTTATGGGGAAAAATAACCTTAGAACATCAGGGATTGAAGGGTCCTTGAAGATGACCTCTTCTGGTACTGACCAAACTTGACTAATTAATGGCTGTCACCTTTATTAAATCACTTTTCAAAAACTTAAGGTATTGAGAAAGGAGAATTTATATCATTACCATAAATGGCAAACTCTGTGTACCTTTGTCATAAATAGAAGGAAGCTGTAAAAATAAACACAAAGAAAACAAAACAACTTTATTAGTTCCAGCTGGTTGCAGTTTCCCGTGGAAGCTCTGACCCGGAGGGCTGTTCTCTCATTGTTAAAAACAGATGGATGCGTGTTAGAGAGATGTCAAATACATGGTAGCACCAGACCAAGACTTTCTCCTGATGAAATTAGGAATGAAAGAATATATATTTAAAAATTTTGCTAGAGGGGACATACACTTGCTGGAGAATAGAACCGACTTCCTCCCATATCTTTTATTATCATTTGACATGCACCATCCAAAATGATACTGCATATCACCGGAATTCAGAAGAATTTTTTTTTTAATTTTTTTTTTTAGAGGTTTTTGCTATAGGGTACATGCGCTCGCCAGACAGACAGAGACAGAGAGATAGAAAGCGAGAAATCACCCCCCAGGGGGGATGGCCACACCGCAATCCCTTCTCCTCCATTCTCCTTTTGGGATCTTGGGCATGCACGCACACGCACCCGGCATGAGTTTTAAGCCACCAGGTCCAGGATGCGAACCGTGGTCGAATACATGCTAACTGCTGGTTCCAGAAGAAATTTTTTATCAGGAAGCTTCTTACTCACTGAAATGTCAATTTCCTCCCCACAGGATTTCTAGCACCATGAGAGCCTGGATCTTCTTTCTCCTTTGCCTGGCCGGAAGGGCCTTGGCAGCCCCTGTAAGTACCCGAAGATCGTGTCTTTTTGGTCCTATATCCTGCCACCAGCTACAAGGGTTCCCAATCTGCTGTCCCTGGATGTCCAAGAATTGCTTATAAAAGACCAACCCTGGTCATGGTCTTTAAACAGAAGGAGATAGGACTTTCTTCCCTATCTCAAGTTAGTTGTCTTATTAATATTATTATTTCTAAAGTGTTTCCCTAAGCCAATAAACTCATGAGAAAACTTGGGATGAGGACCACTGGGTAGGGGCTCCAAAGAAGGGAGTTTATGTAACATGAAGATAACTTTTTGGCAGTCAGAAATTCCCAGTCATGGACTAAGATCACTTAAGGAAATGACTTCTTTGTCATCTGAGGGATTCAAGCCATCGGAGTAAGGGGTTGCTGGTGGGATGATGTTAGAAAGGAGTCAAGCCACAGAGAGGGATGAGTCAGTTCCTGAATCAGTGAGGTTGTAAGCAGACTCCAGCCTGACCAAA